GCGGTGAAGCCATGACGTGAAACTTGTGGCGTCTGTCTGGGTCCCTTTAGTGGAACAGCACAACAGCAAACAAAGCGTCGATCTAAAGACGTAGATCGACTGTATTTTCCAGGCGATTAGCCGCGGTCTTAAGCCTCTAACTGCATCAAAAAATGACCGCACGCCCTGCAATCCCGAGCACCCTGCACCCTGCAATCCCTGCAAGAGCACCCTGCAATCCCGAGCACCCTGCAATCCCGAGCACCCTGCAACCCTGCAATCCGAGCACCCTGCAATCCCGAGCACCCTGCAATCCGAGCACCCTGCAATCCAGAGCACCCTATACACGAATCCACTCGGGTGTCCCAGCACGACTTCAGTAAACTACAACGCCACAAACAGACATGGAACAGACAGCGACCGCACAGCGAAACACACCCACAGACACACTCATCACTCCACGCCGACGAGGAACAGAACGGAGGAACGAACAGAAAAAATGAGTCCTATGTGCCAATCTGAGTCTCCACGCGATCACAACTGAACAAAGTCCAGAGTCAACGTGAACGCGCCAAACAAAGACCGACTGACCCATCCAACTGTTGTGTTTCGCTTAAAGTCCAGTGTGGTTTATTTGTAAAAAAAGTTCGAAAATAGACCATTTAATGACAGTGCGTCTTATAATCCAGAGCGACTAATTGTCCGTAAAATACGGTTAAAAAAACCCATGGGCTGAGAGAGGATTTCTCTCATAGAGGCAATGTAATCACAAACTGCTCGTGTTTGGCCGACAGGGACCTACAACTTTCAAAAATATAGAATTTTGTGGCGATTTTTATCTATTTTTAGATCATAAACTTTTTCTAATAATAATAATAATACATCAGTTTTCTATAGCACTTTTTTGGACACTCAAAGACGCTTTACAGAGCCTTATTCAAACTATTATTGTAGCCACAGCTGCCCTGGGGCAAACTGACGGAAGCCAGGCTGCCAATCTGCACCATCGGCCGATCCGACCACCACCATCACTCACACACACAACACTTCCACACTAGGCAAAGTGTCTTGCCTAAGGACACAACAACAGTTTTTTTTTTTGTGAGTGGCGCCTCCTGTGGCTCCAGATTTTCCCATCCAAGTCCAGACCAGGTCCGGTCCTGCTGAACCTCTGAGATCTGACGGGATCAGGCTTTGACAAATCCGTATGGCCACAACTCAAAATCTTTCAGTTTTCTTAAAAAACACTTTATAATCGTCCAGCTCCGTTCTGCTCCTTTCGCTCTGATTGGTCAAAGCGATCACATGACACATGAGACTGAGCTCTGTGCGTTTGCTCACGTGCATTTGCAGGAAAAAAAGACACAACTGCACATGTTCGGTCGGTCCACAGCCACAGGAAGAACCTCGCTGAACTAAAGGCGAATCTGGAATCATGCGCCATTGAATTCGGCCCAATGACTTGAATGGTCGACCATTTTGAAACCCCGGGGGCTTGGCTACAACACAACAGTAAACAAAGCCTCGAGATGGATGTAGATGAAGACAGACATTCTGTGTTGTCAACATTCCTGAGATCGAGGATTTAAAGCCGGAACAAAGAGAATGTTTGGTGAATTTTATCAAGTGGAAAGACGTCATTGTCCTTCTTCCTATGGGATTTGGCACATTACATACGTCACGACCAAACAGCAGCAATTGGTTAAATAAAAAAAAGTACCCGCCGACCGTCGAGCGAATGAATCCTAATGCTGTGAGGTCAGACAGTTTCCACGAAGTGAAACCGTCTGATGAATCAGGCTTGTGATTTGCATTTCCGGAGCTGAAATGATCCAAATGATTCTAACGAAGGTGTGTGGAGGGAGGAAGGTGGAACATTGGAGTGTTTTCTGTTTGAGAGAAGAACTTTGTCTAAATGTGCAGGGTTTGTGAGTTAAACGTGTGAATGAAACAAAAACCCGACGAGGAAACGACATTTTAATCAGAAATCAGACCAGAATAAGTTAAATATGGGAACGTTAAAAAGACTCCTGCCAAAACGTCGAGCTGATTGAGCGAAATTGTTCTAACCTTTGTACAGTGTTGGGGAGTAACAGATTACATGTACTGGAGTTATGCAATCAGACTACAAATTATGAGTAATTGTATTCGGTTACAGTTACTGTTTCAGTGAGTGGTAATTGGATTACAGTTACTTTGTTGAAATTAATCGATTACACAGAGGGATTTTCCTGTTTTCACGTTTTGGGCTAAATCCCTTTTTTTTTTTTCCCATAATTCCACTCATTGCCGGACACTAAACCAGGACTAAAACCAGGTCTAAACCAGGTCTAAAACCAGGTCTAAAACCAGGACTAAAACCAGGACTAAAACCAGGTCTAAATCAGGTCTAAACCAAGTCTAAAACCAGGTCTAAACTAGGTCTAAACCAGGTCTAAAACCAGGACTAAAACCAGGACTAAACCAGGATTAAACCAGGATTAAACCAGGTCTAAAACCAGGACTAAACCAGGACTAAAACCAAGACTAAAGCAGGACTAAACCAGGACTAAAACCAGGACTAAACCAGGACTAAAACCAGGACTAAACCAGGACTAAACCATGACTAAAACCAGGTCCAAACCAGGTCTAAACCAGGTCTAAAACCAGGTCCAAACCAGGTCTAAACCAGGTCTAAACCAGATCTAAACCAGGACTAAACCAGGACAAACAAGGACTAAACCAGGTCTACAACCAGGACTAAACCAGGACTAAAACCAGGTCCAAACCAGGTCTAAACCAGATCTAAAACAGGATTTAACAGGACTACACCATGCCGCACAGACCGTGTCTCTTTTTCTATCAATAATATTTTTAATTTGGTTCAGTAAAGTCTGGACTTTTTATTTTGTTTTAGCAGATAAAACTTCTTATATCTTATTTCCTCGTCTTTGTTTCTCTACAGCAAATCAAGTAATCCAAAGTATTCAGATTACAGATTACATACCCTAAAATGTAGTGTAAGTCACCTTCCCAACTCTGCCTTTGTATGAATAACTTGTTTTAAACTCTTTTGATTGAGTAAAGTCACTTGCTCCACTTTGAAGCGCACGACTCAAGAGTTTGGTATGTTAAGAAAGAATCTACAGGGTAATGTTCAACTTCTCGTTTCAAACCGAGCTTACGTATTAAGTCTTGCGCGGGTTGGATCTCGAGTCCTGGTTTAAAAGAGAGAGGGTTTGGGTTAGTTTCATAAAGGCCGGCAGTGTGCGGATCTGAAACAGCTCTGGCTCCGCGGTGTAATCTGATCGTTTCCAATAGAGTCTTTGTTAAAACGAAAGGACGGAGGAAACATGGCCCTGGGCTGCACCTACTGTTGCATTTCACCGAGTTTCACCTACAAAAGCTCAGACTCTGTCCCCGTGTGCGTCAGCGTCGCCTCAAAGACTCCACATTACTCTGTTTTATATGTTCTAATGTTGTTTCTTCATCACAAACCAGGTCTAAACCAGGACTACAACAGGGCTAAACCAGGTCTAAACCAGGACTAAACCAGGACTAAACCAGGTCTAAACCAGGACTAAAACAGGGCTAAACTAGGTCTAAACCAGGTCTAAACCAGGACTACAACAGGGCTAAATCAAGACTAAACCAGAACTGAACCAGGTCTAAACCAGGACTAAACCAGGACTACAACAGGGCTAAACCGGGTCTAAACCAGGACTAAACCAGGACTAAACTAAACAGGGCTAAACCAGGTCTAAACCAGGACTAAACAAAACCAGGTCTAAACCAGGGCTAAACTAGGTCTAAACCAGGTCTAAAACAGGACTAACAACAGGTTCAGTCCTGATTTAGTCCTGGTTTAGTCCTGGTTCAGTCCTGGTTCAGTCCTGATTTAGTCCTGGTTCAGTCCTGGTTCAGTCCTGATTTAGTCCTGGTTTAGTCCTGGTTCAGTCCTGGTTCAGTCCTGGTTTAGTCCTGGTTTAGTCCTGGTTCAGTCCTGATTTAGTCCTGGTTCAGTCCTGGTTTAATCTTGGTTCAGTCCTGGTTCAGTCCTGGTTTAATCTTGGTTTAGACCTGGTTCAGTCCTGGTTTAGTCCTGGTTTAGTCTTGGTTTAGTCCTGGTTCAGTCCTGATTTAGTCCTGGTTCAGTCCTGGTTCAGTCCTGGTTTTAGACCTGGTTCAGTCCTGGTTTAGTCCTGGTTTAATCTTGGTTTAGTCCTGGTTTAGTCCTGGTTCAGTCCTGGTTCAGTCCTGGTTTAGACCTGGTTCAGTCCTGGTTTAGTCCTGGTTTAATCTTGGTTTAGTCC